CAGCGATTTTAAGAAAAATGCTTCAACTTTTATGTATTTTAACAGAGTTTGAATCTATTACCGTTTAGAAGTTACCCATTTATGTATATAAAAAATAGCCTCCCTGTATGTCTACTCTACTAAAACGGTGGTTTAAGTTTTTATTTTGATTGTCTACTATATGCTCAAAAAATGTGTTTAAGTTTAATTTTGTTTGTAAGTGAAAATAAATCGTTTTCAATTCTTAACATAGTGGTTTATTATCATCAGTATCTACAATAGATTAATAATATAAGTATCATTAATACCATAAAATTATTATTAACATATAAAAAATCGTTGTATTGACTTTAGGGTAATTATTTTGATTTAAATCACAATTTTTGATTCAAGTCATTTTATTGACTTAACTCTTATTTACTCACGATTTAAATAAAAAATATAGACTTAAGTCATAAAAACGACTTACTTAAGGAATTAAGCCATAAGATGACTTTAATCACTTTATATTGATTTAAGAATTTGCGAAAATGACTTGACTTGAAAGAAAATGATTTAATTCAAAGACTTAATACCTAATTTGAACTTTGTCTTGGAATTGACTTAAGATTTAAATCATTTTGATTTTAGAATTGACTTAAGACTTAAGATTTTAATCTTTTTAAAACTGACTTGTTGCAGCTCTGTGTGCAAGACAAACAGCACGACTATTTAATGTAAGACATCAGGACAAAAATGTATCTCATACTTATATTAGGAAACTGATGGTAAAGTTTTTGGAAACTGGAAAAGTGGAGAACAAAAAAGATAATCCGATTCGTGTCGTTAGGAATGAAGGTATGCAAATCGCAGTCATAGGGCACATTGCAATGGATAACACCTTAAGTACTAGGCAATTGTCCGAAGTTTCCGGCATATCACGAACAAGCGTAAGGAGAATTTTGAAGGTTCACAAATTTTACCCCTACAAGATAAAATTGCATCACGAACTTAATGAGGATGATTATGATCGACGATAAAAATTTGTAGAAGAAATGAGTAAACGGTGTGTTGGCAATCTAAATTTTCTTTATAATGTCTGCTTTTCAGATGAATGCTCCTTGTGCCATAATTGTCGATACTGGAGCGATTCAAATCCACATTTATTTAGAGAGTCTCATACTCAAAATCCTGAAAAGTTAAATGTCTGGGCAGGTATTCTAGGCAATAACATAATTGGACCATTCTTTTTACAAGGCAATTTGACTGGGGCTATGTATCTGACTTTACTTGAAGAAAATATTGTTCCTAGAATAAGGGAAGTTATTGCTGAAGATAATAACTTGTCGCAAAATGAAATGTTGTTTCAACAAGATGGAGCCCCACCGCATTATGCAGCACCCGTTCAGCAATTTCTAAATGAAAATTTTAGAGACCATTGGATTGGCCGAAGAGGACCTATTGAGTGGCATGCAAGGTCCCCTGATCTTTCACCTCTGGACTTCTTTCTATGGGGACATTTGAAGTCTAAAATGTATAAAACAGAGCCAGCTTCTCTTCAAGTTTTACAAGAACGAATAACTGAAGAGTGTCAAAGGATAACTACCGATATGTTGCAGAATGTTAGAGAAGAGGTAGAGAATCGATTTTATTATTGCATGAATGTTAATGGAGGACATTTTGAACAGTTTATTAAATAAATATCATGTAAATAACTTTTTATTAATAATAATAAAACTTTAAAACTTTAATTAGTAGATATTTTTATTAAGGAAGGTAAGTATTGTTTTTACTTATAATAAAACGTGATCTATTTTCAAGATTTTAACAAGATGTCATATCAACGGGGATGCTAGCAGCGAGTTCAAACTTGGAGGGTATAATCAGGGCAAAAATACCTTCAAAATGAAGTATCACTCGACCCCCCTTTCCTATTTAAATTTTGGGGGTAACTATCACCCACGCTTAGGGGTTGAAGTTAAGGGGTTGAAAATATAAAAATAAATTGTCCCCCTCAAATTAGAAATCGACGGGTGCGAACGTTTTTTATTTTTTTTTGGAACACCTGAGAAAACCGGGGTGGAAACTTTCCATTGGCCCACCCTATATATCGAAAAGTTAAAAAATTAAACACAATTTCACCACGTTTAGTCTAAAACACTAAGGGCCGGTTTTTCAATCGTTGGTTAAGTTTAACTTACGGTTAACTTTCTTAGATACTATTGTGTTAACAATAGTATCTAAGGAAATTAACCGTAAGATAAAGTTAACCAACGATTGAAAAACCGGCCCTAAAACGTTTATAGTAACCCGTTTGTCATTACCAACTGACGTGTTGGCCTTCTAGTAAATGATAACAAAGGACGATAGTACTATCGATCGTCTGCAGCGGGAAATTTAAATAAAACACCGTTCTGCCCCGGTACCCCGTTCTACCCCGGTCTCCCCTAAGTGCTTCAAATGTAACAAGTCTGGCCACTACGCTTCCTGTTGTCTGTTCCCACAGATCTGTTCCCAAAGAAATTGGAAGACAATATCAACAGGTCCGTCGGCAGAGGGTCGCGTGGATGTTTGTTTAATAAACACACCATTTGGTACTCTACGTTATCACGGTGAGAGTTTTTTATTTTATTATGACTCGGGCGCTGAGTGCTCACTTATTAAAGAATCGGCATCTTTTAAGTTTAGCGGGACGCGTTATAATAATGTTGTTATGACGGGTATAGAACAAACCAGTGTACACAGTAGTCAACAAATATTAAGTGCTATTGAGATCCATAACATTTCCTTGAAATATTATTTCATGTGATGCCTGACCATTGCGTACGACACGAAATTTAAGTGGGCCGCGAAATTTTAAACCAAAATTTACATGACGTGAAATAAAATAAAATTAATATAGTCACCGTATGCGATAAATATAAATTTAATAAAAGCTATTGTGAAATTGTAATTAAAGATATTTTCCCATTAGGTATAAGTCTCAGTTATTGACAATTTATTTTTTGATCGCTGGTCAAGCGATGACAATTTATTTCTTGATCGCTGGTTAAGTGATGAGAATTTATTTCTTGATCGCTGGTTAAGCGATGACAATTAATTTTTTGATCGCTGGATAAGCGATGAGAATTTATTTCTTGATCGCTGATTAAGCAATGACAATTTATTTCATGATCGCTGGTTAAGCGATGGAAATTGATATGTGTAGTCGCTGACTAAGCGATGGATATTTAATTTCTTGATCGCTGGTTAAGCGATGAAAATTTATTTCTAGATGGCTGGTTAAGCAATAATAATTGATTTTTGATCGTTGCTTAAGAAAGGACAATTATCGTTAATTGGTTAAATGTAAATGTTTTATGATTTCAAAATAAGCAAGGTTAATTTTACTGTATTACCTGTTTTAAGTTAAATTTTAATTTTGAGTTGGTGAAATAATGTCAGAATGACCAAGCGATTTACTTCTATAGTTTTGTTTTGTAGCCGAGTCACACGAGGACGTGTGACTTGTCAGAATGGTCGTGTAAGGAAACTCGTTGGTTGCCTAAACAAGCTTGGGTGGAATCAAGGGCGGTGCCATGTATTTCGGGGAAGTACCGAATGGGAAATGACGAGCAAGCAACGATGGCTTTTGCATCCTGATAGAAAGAGGGGACGGGCATTCAGTTTTGGATGCCTGACTTGGCACGACTAGTGGGATCCCCTCCAGTTACCAAAGTAGTCATTAGTTTATGTTAATAATTAGTTTTGTATGTGCCTGATAACAAAAACAATATAAACGTTAATAAATAAACATTGTGTGGTTACTATAAACATTATTAAGTATGGCAGACCTTGAAGAACAAGGGGATGCAACCCCGACATATATATATATATATATATATATATATATTAGGGTGGTCCTTAGCTATAGAGGTAAAAGATATACTTTTAATATTGAATTGTCCCACCCCCCCATTTTTTTATAACACAAGAGAAAAAAAATTACACAAAAATTTGAATGGCCAACTCAACCCCTTCACGTGCCTGTGAGGGGTTGAATTTTGACAAAATCCCCAATTTTTAAGGTTTGTAACGTTGCGGATTTAACTTTACGAATACGGCCACTATTTCATTCGTTATACCCTTTATTATATGTAATTCTTATTGGTTTTCATTGGATTTATTTGGAGATCAACCCTGGGTTGATGTTGAGTCTCTATTTTTCCCTAAGACCAGTGGTTTCACCTAGAAAACGTAAGATTAACACGTTTAGTTTATTTTGAGGTTATTTGCGATATGTTACCGTGGAGTCTGACTGGAGGTTTGTGGATGATTGTTATGTTCGTTATACTATGTGTAAAGTGTTTCTGGCTTGATAGGAAGTATAAATTCGTGTCCCAACTCGATTTTCGAGTGTTTTCTGTGATGTTACGGATATGTTTTGTCAAAGTAGTTATTGACCTTTATTAGGGCAGTGTGGAACTTTGGACCTCGCTAAAATATAGAATAATGTTCACTTAACTTGTTTGCGTTAATAATTTGTTACTGGCTAATGAATTTACCTTATTTAGCCGTGTTTTCGGCGGTTTTCGATTTGTTTATGGTTGCGGCTATGACATCTGTCATCGTTGCACTGCAGCCAACTTAGCAGTGTCGCCAACTTCTGGGCAACCTAAGTTACTGTTGATTTTTAGTGGGGTCGCGAAATTCAAGTTTTTTTATTGCAAATAATTGATTTGGATTGGTCATTTTTCGGCATTTCCGGATCATGCTTATCGAGGTGTACCGAGTGTAACAGGAAGAGTCAGATAAGCCATTTTGAGTATTATCGATACGTTATGCCAAGTGTGTGTTCGAAGGAATTTCTAAGATTAGTGATTATTTAAGTCATCCGCTATTGAAAGTGGGATTATAGTTTAGATTGACCTGATTTGAATTTAATAAGGCTATTTTCGTGCATATTGTTGTGTTTTGGGAGCCTATAAATTCGTCGACGTAGTCGGATTAGACGAACACAGCTTTGAGTATAATTATCGTAGACTACCTTAACCGCACCTGACATCGCCGGAGTGGAGCTTCCTGCAAGAACACTTCGACCAGGCGTAAGTAACCTTTGGCTAATATCGTTCGGATTGGTAATTCTCTGGTGCTTTATTTGTAGGGTTCTCGTTTCGTTTTCGTTGGTTTGGAATTTTTGGTGTTGCGATTGCACTGTACGAGTGTGGGAGTTCATACGAGGCTGTTGGACAAAACCTTGCTCTACAGGGTGTTTGTGGACAAGTATTGCTGGAGGAGATACCCTGACGACCTGACAAGTTTGACTGTACGTGGGAGACCCTAGGGCCTGGCGGGGTGACCGTAACGTCATCCATTATCCATTCTATCAGTGACAACCCAATTACGGGAGGACCCGGATCTAACGGCAACAGGTTCAGTCCCAAGGAGAGGATAAGTCACACTTTTACTTATATACCTTTTTATTAGTAACATTTAAATATCTAAACGTTAGACAGCAGTCCGAAGACTGAGTTATTGTCCTATAGGAGTAATTATTTGTGAAACAGTAATGAATTTAATAATAACTAGTTAATATAAAATTAGATATAGATTTCTACTCTGGTATGTAAACTTGCGTGATCACGGGGGTATTCGCCAGCGATATTTGTAAATGTCCGGTTATTTTTTTTTTACATTCAATTTGAGCTTTTAGAAGTTATAATGTTGACTTTTGGTGAGGTGTAACAGTAAAATTTTATTTGACCAAATCAGTTGTTTCCCTTCACTACATTGGCCTGAACTAGTGTGCGCCGCGCTTACTTAATTAGTTGTTGTCACTGCACCCTAGTACTCTAGGCTTTAGTATTTTTCGCCTAAGAGGATTTATATAGAGTTTAGACAAAAAAAAAATACTTGGCGCCCTTTTTACTTTATTATTGTGGAACCCCGCCTTTTCCACTGGGACTCAGCCGCGAGCATACGACTGTCGGGTGGCAGTCAACTCTAAGAGACAACCCTTATCGAAAGAGGGGTGGCAAATTTTGGCGCCCAACGTGGGGCCAGTAAATTACACGCGAGTGAGGCAATTGTAGCATCTTTTAGTAGTGAGGCCAATTGTATTGAGTGTGGGGCACTTTGTTGGCATTTTTTTTTATCGGATTTTTTTTTGGTGTTTTTTATTTATTCTGTTTTTGGTCTTGGTAAGCATGGATTTCAAGTTATGTGTCAACCGACTGGACAAAACCGAGCTTGTTTACGAATTAACTTTTCGCGGCGTTAGCACTACCGATTCTACGGTTACGGAGATGCGAAAAAGTTTGCGAAATATATTGAAATTAGAGAAACTCGGGGATGCGGCAAAACTAACGTATCCGGAGTACCCTTTTTCCTTAGCGCAGGATATTACGTATATTCGCGAACGAGTAAGCTTGATTGAAGGTTTGATCGAACAGTTTTCGGATGCTAATGATCACGCGCTGTATGATAAAATAACCACCAAGTTACTGCATGTATATAACCGCGCTATTCGCTCGGTAGCTACGGCGACAGACGACCAGACTAAGCGTCAAGATTTAATCCTATCGATAATGAACTTAGCCTCGGATTTAAAAGCACAATTTCGTAAATTAAAACGACAATCGCAGTTGTTGAGTGCTCCTGCCGAGCTTAGTGTCGTGTTTGCGAATACTTCGTTAAATACCGATTCGTCGGGAGGGTCCGAGTCAGAGGCCGAGGAGGCTGGCGATGAGGCCGGGCCATTCAATAGTTCGATCGTGGCGCCCCCTATCTCGGGTTCATCGCATCACTCCAAGTATCCACCTAGCGTGCCGGTGTACAAGTGGACAATTGAAAAATTTAGTGGCGACAAGTCGAAAATATCGTTATGTGCATTTTTGGAGCAAGTAGAGGAACTACGGGTATCGCGGAATGTGAGTCATGCGCAACTTTTCCAACAGGCGGGTGATTTATTTGCGGGCAAGGCTAAGGTTTGGTATACCGGCATGAAGAGTTCGGTTAATTCGTGGGCGGAATTGGTTGATGCATTACGTTTACAATTCTTGGGAAGTAAGGTGGAATATAATAAAAAATTATTAAAGGAAGTACGGCAGCGTACACAACATGTAAACGAACCGATCGGGATTTACATAGCGTGTATGAACAATCTATTTAATCGGTTAACGGTACCTGTATCCGCGGGGGTGCGTTTGGAAATTTTGTTGGACAATCTAGCGCCTTTTTACAAGCACGAACTCGGGATGCAGGATATTTCGACCGTGAATCAGTTATTGCAGTTAGGCCGCAAAGCCGAGGCCAAGAAAGAATCTATCGAGTCCTATGTTCCCCCACCCCGTCATAAAAATTTCCTAGAACCTGACTTAGCCTATGTTTACACTGAGTCGGACCCTAATTCTACGTATGTTGGAGAGGTAAATATGGTAGAGGCGAAACCGCAACCTACCTGCTGGAATTGTCAGCGTACAGGCCACTTATCTCGAGACTGCTCGGCCGAAAAATCGCGACATTGTTTTCGCTGCGGTAACGCTAACGTCACCGTTCGCACCTGTCCTAAATGCCGGTCGGGAAACGGTCAGAGGAGACAGTAAAGGACCGTATACTAGTCTCTTCCACTCCTACGGTCACTAGTGTGTTGGGTCCGAAACAGACTGCGATCTTGGATTTTATTATTGCGCATGCGGAAGGGGACGAGCGGCCGTATTTGAAGGTGAATATTTTGGGGATAGATATCTTGGGATTATTAGATTCTGGGGCGACGCACACCATTATCGGAGGGCCTGGATGGGAAATTTTAAAGCGTTTTAAACTTCCGTTCAAATCAACGACTTCAGTTACTTGTACCGTCGCGAATGGGGAAAAATGTAGCGGCCTGGGAACAGTGGACTTGCCAATGCGGTTACAGGGTGAGGTAAAATTAATTGAGACTTTGGTTATTCCGTCACTAGCGCATACGTTAATTTTGGGAGTTAGCTTTTGGAAGAAGATGGGCTTGGTGCCTGATCTGCGACACGGGGCGTGGAAGTTCTCTACCCCGGCCGACGTTCAGGTAAATAGTATCGCGTTGCATTCACAAACCGAGTTATCGTCAGAGGAGTTACGAACCCTAACCGAGTTAGTGGAAAAGGCATTTAGCGAGATGGGCGACAAGCTGGGCTGCACAACCTTGGTCCAGCACGAGATTAAGACCTCGTCACCCCCAATTAAACAGCGGTATTACCCGGTTTCCCCCGTTATGCAAGCCCATATCGATAAAGAGATGGACACACTTCTAAGCGAAAATATTGTCGAAAAATCTACAAGCCCCTGGTCTGCCCCTATTCTACTCGTCAAAAAGAAAGATGAGTCGTATCGTTTCTGCGTAGATTTTCGCCGCTTAAATAACGTTACAGAACGTGATGCTTATCCTTTACCCTATATATCCTCCACTTTAGATCGTCTAAGAGACGCACGGTATCTTTCGTCAATGGACATTAAATCCGCGTATTTTCAAGTACCTTTAGCCGAAGCCTCTAGACCATTGACGGCATTTACAGTTCCTAACCGGGGGTTATTTCAATTTCGTCGGTTACCCATGGGGTTAGCTAACTCCCCTGCTACATTTCAGCGGCTTATAGATACCATTTTAGGACCGGATCTCGAACCCTTCGTATTTTGTTATTTAGATGATATAATTATCGTGACGCAAACTTTTGATAAACATCTCGAAGTGCTCGCTGAAGTTTTTAAGCGTTTGAAAAATGTCAACTTAACGGTTGCTAAAAATAAATGTTCCTTTTGTAGGCCCGAACTCAAGTATTTGGGATATATCGTCGACCGTAACGGGTTACATGTCGATCCTGATAAGGTTAGCGCGATTATCAATATTCCCACGCCTAGTAACGTTTCGGAGATTAGGCGAGTTATCGGATTAGCTTCGTGGTACAGGCGGTTTGTGCCTAACTTTTCTACTCTCGTTGCGCCTATTTGTAATCTGCTGCGCAAGAATAATAAATTTAGTTGGAATAATGATTGTGAGGAGGCCTTTCAGGCATTAAAGGATCACTTGATATCCGCGCCGGTACTTTCGTGTCCGGATTTTGCATTACCGTTTACAATTCAGACTGACGCATCCGGATATGGCCTTGGCGCCGTTCTTTCGCAACAGCACCCCGATGGTGAAAAGGTTATTTGTTATTTATCGCGGTCCTTAACCCGTAACGAGCGAAATTTTACAACCACCGAACGGGAATGTCTCGCGGTACTATGGGCTATCGAGAAGTTACGTCCGTATATAGAGGGGTCTAAATTTGATGTAATTACGGATCATCATTCGTTGCTTTGGTTGAATCGATTACAGTCTCCCTGTGGCAGACTGGCGCGATGGGCGATACGTCTGCAAGCGTACGATTACACTATCATTCATAGGAAGGGGAAGGAACATGTGGTGCCCGATGCGTTGTCGCGTGCAGTTCCCATAGTTGATAGTGTCGAAGTTACGAATCAGCCTAGTACCGACAAATGGTACAATAACTTAATAACTAAAGTTAAAACCAAGCCGGAGAAATTTTCGCAGTGGCGTATAGCGGACGGAAAGTTATATAAATTAATCACACCACGATATCCGGAATTAGCCAGCGAATCTGACTATTGGCGCGAGATTGTTCCAACGGAAGCGCGAACCGTTCTTATTAAAGAAATCCACGAAGCAAGCTGTCATACGGGAGTCTATAAGACTTATCATAAGTTAGCCGAAAAATATTCCTGGCCGAAAATGCATGCGGACGTCGCTAAGTTTGTCCGGCATTGTCGGATTTGTCAAGCTATTAAACCAGAACAAAAGCGTCCAGTCGGGCTGATGTTAAGCTCTCAATCCTCCATTTCTCGTCCTTTCGAACTGTGTTGTGCCGATCTCGTCGGTCCTTTGCCAAGATCAAAATCAGGGTTCCAATATATATTTGCTATTGGTGACTGCTTCAGTAAGTTTCCCATTCTTTTACCTTTGCGTAGTGCCACAGCTTCAAATGTCTGTCGAGCTATTGAGGATAACCTCTTTTTGGTATATGGTTGTCCAAAAACCATAATAGTAGATAACGGGGTCCAGTTCCGTTCCAGAGAATTCCAAACGTTAATGAAATCCTACTGTGTATCGATTAAGCATACCGCTTACTATCACCCTCAAGCGAATCCTTGCGAGAGAATAAACCGCGTTTTAAAGACTATGTTGCGTTCGTTTGTTTCCGATGATCATAAATCTTGGGACAAGAATTTGTTTCGGGTTGCAGCCGCCATTCGTGCATCTAAGCATGAGGTTACCGGGTTTACGCCCAACTTCGTGGTTTTCGGCCGGGAAATTAATTTGCGAGGAGATGGCAAGCAACTT